ACAACCAGCTAGGCCAACCGCTGCTGTCCAATAGTCCATCCTTTTGTGGGCCATTCCTCCTTCTAGAGCCAGTTAACCACCAACCCTACTGCTTACAACTCCATGCCCTAAGATTATTTCTCTTTAACATTATCCTTTAGGCCACTGCTGAGAAGAATTCGATGTAGTAACAATCCTTTTTGTCCAGTTTTCACCAATCCATCTGAAAAGTAGGCCCAAATTACTCTATTATCCATCACTTGATCATAGGGAAAGACTATTCATTAATCAGCTTTCCCATCATGATAAAATAACTTTCCATTGGTCCATGGTCACTTAGCTCCATTATTTCTGGGCCTGTGGCAGGTAAAAAACATCATGGCAGAAAGATGTACTGGAACAAGCCGTTTGCCTCATCATGTCAGCTGTAGGGAGAGGAGGGGGAGAGGGACAGAGAGAAAGAGGAGAGAGGAGGGACGGAGAGGGAGAGAGGGGAGAGAAAGCCAGAAATACAAGAAAGAAGACAAGGACAAAATATACCCTTCTTGGATAAGCCCTCAGTGACTCACTGACTCACTTCTTCCAAGTAGGCCACACTCCATACTGTTTCTACCACCTCCTTACAATCCACTCAATTCCATACCCACAAATGGATGAATCCATTGGAGAGATCAGAGCCCCAAAATCCCTACTCTTTAACTTTGCTGCATTAGGGAGCAAGCCTTCAACACATGAGCCTGTAGGGGACATTTAAGACCCAAAGCATAATGCCCCATAAGGTGATGGGTGTGAGCTGAGGAAAAGATGTTTCAGTGCAACAGATGTATGTGATATGAGGCCTGAGCTATCTGCTTGTATAATTTACTCAAGCCTATAAGCCTTCGTGGATCTAAAGTTAAGTTCTCATTTTTGTCATATAATGGATTGCTGGTGTGCTTCCCTGAAATTATAGGTTAATGGGCCTAATAATGCCTAGGTTGTTGTTTTCAGATACAGTCTTACAATTACTTGGGGCTTCATAGGCAAGCACTAATTCGCTGCCAGGGTCCTGTAGCACTCTAGGAGCTGTTTTACTAAATTACCGTTCTCTGTCATGGAAGGTATGACTGGCTCCAAAATTCTGAGGGCCTGCACTTTGACTTTCCCTTTGGAGCTTTCCAGAGACTCCACATCGTGTTCTCTCACACCCTTGGAGCTGACGAGTCACTGGGTTCAAATCACCGGAGCAGCTTGGCTTGCAGCCTGGACCCACCCAAAACTGACAATGTTGGAAATGACCCAATAAATATAATGCAGCAAAATTCCATGTTTCCAAAATCCAGAAAAGACTCACCAAGTGCTGTGTCTGAATGAGTGACAGGTGATTAGGATAAAATAATGTCTTTTCTTTTTTCTTAGAGGAGATGGCATGGCAAGTTTTAGATCATTTGACTCAAAAATGTTGCTGATGTAACAAGCTCCTGCAGCTTTCGGGGTCTATCTCCCACTCTCTGGCTGTGTCTAAGGGCATGTAGGGTATTTGTTCTTGGGTACTCCTCAAGTCCTTGCAGCATGACATTAGCAATCTCTTCAGTATGATGAACTAATGTGATGTTCTGGGAAATATCGAGAGGATCAAGGGCCACTTTACCTGCCTGGCAAGGTTCTGAGTCTGATTCCTGGTACCGGAAGAACAACCAAACAAAGAAGATCAAGATCCCCACAGGCTACATTGTAACAGAGAACAGAAATCTGACCTAGTCTAAGGGTAGGAGAGTGAACATGTATTGCTGGTCTTCTCAGGTAAATGCAAACTGGTTTGACCATTCATTGATAGAGACTAAAATCATGTATTCTCCAGACTGAGTCGCAGGGGATATTTGGTCTGTTTTAGTAAAGACAGCACATCCAGTGGTGCAACCATAACTAGGGCAACCACCCGGTTAAGTATAAGCCTTTAATAGCAGGAATCATTTCTGCAATTCCCTCTAGTAGGTGTTGTTGTTTCTGTGACTCATTATTTTGGCTGAGAGGGCAAACAGTTTCAAGGTTTTCTACTTTTGGGGGTCATTAGGAAAAGGCAGGAATCCTGTAAGAGGGAGAAAGGAAGGAGGCCTCTGAGGAGCAAGGGGGTAGGGTCGGTCCTGGGGATGGAAACAGGACCCGCTCGGAGTCAGGAAAATATCACAGCTGCCCACTTCACG